TTGGAGTGCACAAAGACAAGGGCCTCTGAGGGGGCAGGGCAGAGGGAGGGCCTGGCTCCGTGGGCTGAAGGGTGGGCACCCAATGGTGGGGGCACTGGCGTGCAGAGCTGGCTGAAGAAGAGGGAGGCATCCCGCCCCAGGGCCACATTGCCTCTTGCCTCTTGCCCTGGAACAGGCCCCGGCTGGCCTGGCCGCCCCCAGGTGAGTGACCCTGGGACAGGGACCGAGCGGCGCGTGCCCCGTGGGCATCGGCACCCTAAGGAGGTTCTGGCTCCCCAACACACAGGTCAAGTGCATGCAGGTGCAGCCTGGTGCCTCGGAACATCTGTGTCAAGCCCTGCCCAGCCCCTTGCCCACCTGGGCCCCGCTCATGAGCACAGAGGCTTCAGGGCAACACACACACACACACACACACACACACACACACACACACACACACACACACTGGCTGGGAGAATCAGGATGCGGAGCCCAGCCAAACCTGACCCGTGAGACCTGGCAGGGGGGTGGGGGGCACAGCCTGGGCCTCTCCTTACTGCTGGGGATCCCAGACCAGCTGGAGGCTGCTGGGGGCAGAGGGGACACCTCAGGGACCCTGTCCTTCCTGGTGGGCTGGACTCCAGGCCCAAGCAGGTCAGCAGGAGAGGTAGGCCACAGCAGAGTGACCTTGGTGTTACCTCCTGGCTGCCCAGTTTTCCTCTGCTGGACATGGACAGGGGAGGGAGAGCCAGGAGACGGACACACCTCCAGGGGCGTTGCAGAAAGCCCCAGTGGGGTCTCGAGGCCCCTCCAACATGCCACCACCTCAAATCAGCATTAGCTCCTGACCCAGTGCTGGCCGGTCCCTCAACTCCGTGTTCCAGCTCCCCTCTGACAGGGTGAGGCTCATCCAGAGAGAAAATGCCCCACTTCCCGGACCCAAGGGCCCTCCTCAGCAGCCACCCCACCCCCGGAAGAGCATGCCGGCTCAGTCACTCATCACTGGCATGCAGCAGCGTGCTGACCTGGGTCACCCTGCTCCCTCTGTATGGTAGGCTCTGCAGGCAGAGGGCTGTGGGGAGGGGCAGCAGGCCAGCCCAGCCCAGCCCAGAGCCCTCACCCTGCCCGCAGGGTGAGAATGGACCATGAGGGCAACCAAGAGCTTATGCAGACCAGGACAGGGAGCAAGGTGCCTGCCACAAGGACCCCCCAGGAATCTCTGCCAGGGCTCTGGGGTGCTCATGCTTATAAGTCCCTTTTATGCAGGGAAGAGGCAGTGCACATAGGAGTGAGCGTCCAGCCCCAGGGGCAGCCAGCCGTGTCTCCACAGCCAACCCACGTGTCCCTGTGTCCACGAGCACCCTGCATGTCACTGCCACAGCCCTAGAAAAACCAGGCTTCCAGCAGGTCATCCCCTGTCCCCCACCCCCAGTATCACTGCTGAGAAGATGACCTGCAGCTGCCCGCCTCCCAGAGGCACTCAGAAGAAAGGGCCGGCGACCCACGAGAGAAAACCCAGCCAGGGCAGCGCCCACTTCTCCTCAGGCATGTGGGGACCCCAAAAGTGGGGCCCACCCCACAGCAAGGGCTTTCCCACCTGCTGGTGAAGCAGCCGGGTTCTGAGGGAAGAAGGCCGGGTCCAGGCTGGTCTGCCCGCCCGCCCACCTGTCACCTGGGGCTCCGACCTGGCATGATTTGAATACACGGAGTCAGGGCGAGGACTGCTTGCCCTGGGCCACTCAGCCCTGAGCGCCCCTGGAGGGATGTGTGCATTTCTATGCGCCACAGGATGGGGCACCCAGAGGCCTGGAGACCAGGTCACACCCACGGGCCCCCTGGACCCCAGGGGCCACACTGCCCTGTGTGAGCCACACCTCATCCGGGCCCTCCCTCCCCCAAGACACATGGGTACAGGGCCCCCTAGAATGTGCCCTGCACCCCAAGGGCAGGTGGACTTCCCAGAAACAGAAGCTTCAGGGCAGCCCCTCACAGGGCATCTTCAAGGGCGGCTCATGGGTGCCCCCTTCTCCCCACTTACCAGCCCTCACGGGACCCTCACAGGGCACTGGCTCACCTCAAACACCTCCTCATCCAGGATCCTCGTGCCGAAGACAACAATGCCATTGGCGTCAACTACGGGGTGGTCACTACGGTCCAGGAACTTGGTGGTCTTCTTCTTACAGTCCAGGATGAGGGTGACGTTTTTCTTGTGGATGCTGAGAGCAATTCTGTGCCACCTGTAAGCAGACAGATGGGAGGGCGGACAGGTGATGGGGTGGCTTGGGTCTCAGAATGTGGATACCAGTGGCTACACTTCGAGCTCTGGGGGCTGCAGGAGACAGGGCCTCAGCGCACCGCCCTTGGGCACCAGAACACAGCTCAGCCTCTGGCTCAGACAGGGGGGATCTTGTATCCCAGAAACCCAGGGCCCAGACAAAATTTCCCAAGGACTCCTCACCTCTGGCCACTGGCGTGGGCACAGATACCCAGCTTGGCCTCGGCCACCTGACAGGGGCTTGGACACCAGCCCGGGATCGAACACTGAACCTAGGCTTAGACATCCGGTCTGGGCTTGGACATGAGGCCTGGGCTCAGACAGCCGGCCCCGGCCCATGAACACCAACCGCCCCAACCAGTAGACAGCGTGGGTGGGGACTTGCTCGCCACCAGTGGGAGGAGCAAGTGGGGACAGTCATTGGTGCTCAGCTGTTGAGGGAGAGGCTGGAGGTCCCAGCCCATCCAGAGGCGCTGTGGAAGAAAGGCTGGTGCTACTTCCAACACTCAGCCCTAGAACGCTCTGGGGAGCTCAGCTCTCTGGGACCCCCGAGATCCGGGCAGCCAGGAATCAGCGACTCACTGACAAAGGGGTTTGGGTTTTATCTGCATGAACTGGACAAGGGGTGACTGATGGCCTGAGAGGACCCAGTCTAGCTGGACAGTGGAGTACGTCCAGAAGGCCATCGGGAGCGGTCAGCACAGCACAGGCGGGCAGGGGGTCCCCTGACTGTGCTTCCTGACCACGCATCCGCCCACGGAACACATGCTGCCTTTTCTGGACCAAGCAGGGTCAGGCTACCCAACCTCTGTCACCCATCTGATGCCAGGGACCAGCACCCCATGTCCTTGGACACGCCCCTCAGAGGGAGATGGAGAAGGGCCGCCCCGGGCTGGGCCCTCTCTGCTGTCTGCCCACGTACTTTCCGTCCGACAGGTTGATGCCTCGGAAGAGGGGGTAGTCCTCGGGGCCGGGCCGCCCCGTGTGGTCCTCATACAGGAAGACAGGGGAGCGGCCCAGCTCCAGGCCGACCTGCTGAACACCTTGCTCGCTGTACACGGACACCAGGAAGGCCTGGCTGCCCTTCTTGGCTTTCACAGTGGTGAGGATGGAGAAGTCCTCGGGGAACGCAGAGGCTGGAAGAGAGGGCAGGGTCAGGCAGTGCTGGGGTGGGGGGTGGGGGCTCTATGGGGACCCTTGGCTGCACACCTGGCCCTGGGTCAAGCAGTTTCTGTGTCCCTGCCTACCCTCCAGGGCTCAGCTCAACACAAAACCCTCTGGTCCTTGCAGCTGCTGCCTCTCCACTCCCTCTGCCTAGTGCCCCCCTCCCAGGACATTGGAGCGGAACACCTGTGGGCGTGCTGGGACTGAGTGGTGGTCGCCAGGAGGGCTGTCTGGGCACGCCCTCTGCTGGTGACATGGGGTCACGCACACGGCGTAGGGGCAGGCAGCCATGCTGGGGAGTCAGGACCTCAAGGCCACCAGGGAGGGCTGAGGTCTGCAGGGGTGGTGAAGAGAGGGGCTGTGGCAGTGTCCGACCGCAGCAGCACAGGGCACTGCAGGGACAGCATCCTTATGAGTACCAAGCAGCCCAAGTCGTCGGACACGCGTCTCCTGCCCCCCAGGTGCCTGTCTCTGTCTTCAGAGAAAGGCTGGCCTGACTGAGGCTGCTGTCCCTCCCAGAAGGCCACTGGGCAGCTAGCTCTGTGGCTGCTATCCCATCACACACGGGTGGGTGGGGAGTCAGAGGTCAGGCCAGTGTGCCCATCTGGTCCTTGGGAGCAAAGGGGCACCCAGGCTCCAGGCTGTCCAGGGGTGTCTCAAGGGTCACTGTCCCTGTCCAGGGTAGTCCCAGTCAACGACATGCCCCCCCCCCTGCGCCCCTGATGTCCCCATGTCTCACACAGGAGCAGGGGGCCCACACCCGCACCCCCCACATCTCAGCCCGCAATTAACATTGCATTTCTTCTCCCGGGACTCTTGACACCAGAGACCAGCCCCCTCCTGCCGGGACAGCAAAGGGACCCAACAGGCCTCCCACACCCCCTTCGGTGGTCGATGGGGATGGGTCACCACTGTCCTGCGATCCGAGGGGCTTCCCGAGCCTGCTCCCCCGGTGGCACCCCATCTGGAGGCCGGGGTGAGGGCACACACTCACCGGGGTACAGCTGCCTGGTGGGCGCGCTGAGCTGGGCATCCTTGGTGACTCTGTAGGCCACATCTGGGCCTCTGGAGGACCGCCGGGTGGGGCAGAAGCCGGTGGTCTTTGTGATCCCATCAGGCAAGTTGTGAAAATCTAGAATCTTCAGAAGGTCCGCTGGCTGAGCTGGAAGGAGAGCGAGAGAAAGGATGGGGTTAGCATGGGGCTGAAAGGGGGCACCAGGCACCTCCCACGCCGCCCCAACCCCCCAGGGTTCAGCCCTCAGAGGATGCTGCAGGTGCAGCGCAGAGCCCTGTCACTCCCAGGGGCAGGCTTGCCCTACAGAGAGTCCACACAGGCCAGTATTTGCTGCCGAGGTGTGACCATGCCAAGACCCCACTGGAGGCGCCAGCCCTGTTCCTTTGGGCGGGGCTGCTCTGTAAGCTGGTGGCTGCGTTGCGTTTCTATGATGCTGGAAGTTCAGCTGCCGGTGCTGCAGATACCAGCAGGGTCCCCGGGGTGGGCAGGTTTCAGCAGAGCCCCCGGCCTTGACTTGCTCCTGAGTCGGGGTGACCCTCTTGGCCAGGGCAGAACGGTCCTGTGAGCTTCAGATGGTGGTGACTCTTTACAAGGTGGAAGCCTCGTCCACCTCCCACTGGTAGAGTCCAGACTGCTGACCTCGGGTGAGCAGCCCGGTGCGGAACAAGGAAGAAGAGGCCAGTCTACTTCTGAAACCCACCCAGCAGATGAAAACCCTAGGGGCCCCAATCCAGCTTTGTTCAGCAGAGAGCTGGGCGGAGAGCCCTCTAGATGGGAATGAACTGGCCCTCCGCTGTGTCCATTCCAACTGCTGGGGGCCCTGCAGTTACATGGTGGGGAAGTGACCACAACAGTGACCTGAAGCCGCCTGGCCTCAGGAAGATGGTGCAGGGCCGGGAGTCGCCTCGTCCTGTGTGCCAGTCGACCACGTTTTGTTGCTCCCTGATCTACTGGGTCTGCCTCAAACTGGACTCTAAGCTCACTGCCCACGAGTCGATGCCGACTCACCACGACCCTCCAGGGCAGCAGTTTCTGAGGGTGGGCCTCCCCGGTGTGGCTCGTGGTTTTGAACTGCTGACCTTGCAGACCACAGGGCAATGTGTCGCTGGGGTGCCACCCGGCTCCTCTCCGGGGTTGTGCAGTGAGCTTTCCGCCCATGGGGTGGGTGCCGCCACCTGGTGGCCAGCCAATCCACCCGTGTCATTTTCCCAGAGTGCAGGGTCACGGCGTGTCTCGGTCCCATTTTGGTCCTTCTCACGGCATTTCCAACCTTTTCATCTTGCTGCTTAGTGCTCACGCCACAGACTGCCACCGGTGCCGGCATTGCCACACAGCACGGAGGGCGGAGCAGGCAGCACCCCGAATGACAGCCTCCAGCCCGCTGGGGGTGGCTTGGGACACAGCCGCAGGATCCCGGGGCTGGCCTGTGGGGGGGGTCGCTGTGAGTCAGATCTGACACAGCAGCAAGGAACAGTCCCTCCTCTCCACGACCACACTTCCCAGGGCCACGCTGCCCACAGCTATGCTTTCCACGGTGGCACAGGGGCGACTGGTTCCCCTGCATGCAACAGCTGCAGATTCTCCTTAGCTAAATAAGGGAGAGAGCTGCCCTGCCCAGCACCGGGCTCGCAGCGGCCATAGGAGAGAGGGGAAGGGCCCATCAGGCTTCTAGGGTTGTTATCTTTAGGGAAGCTGACCACCACCTCCTACTTCCACGGCACAGCTGGTGGGTCCTAACCCACAGACACAACGCAGCCCTCGGTCACGGAGCAGGTTCTCACTCTCGGTGACCTTAGACGGGGTTTCTGGGGCTGAGCCTCTGGACGGAAGCAGACAGCCTCATTTTCTCCTGCCTCAGGTAGGCAGCTTGGACCCACCTTGTGCATCACGCAAGGGTGCGGCAGCATGACTTGGGGGGTGCTAGGGAGGGTGCTATTCGTGGTGGAGTCAGTCTGATGTGTGCCGAAGCTGGGTGTCAGTGTAGACCTGCCCCGTGAGCTTCGCTGGGCTTGGATGTCAGTGTAGACCTGCCCCACGAGCTGCCCTGGGCTCAGATGTCAGTGTAGACCTGTCTCACAGCCTGCCCTGGGCTCGGATGTCAGTGTAGACCTGTCTCAC